ACATATAAACCTCAGATGTTGTCAGTAGTCGACTTTAAATATTTCTGTTGGTGCCAAACGTTGGCATCTGAAGAAATCCTACCAGAAGCAATGATTAATAATAGAAGATGTTTCAATAACTAACATTGCACCTATAATGACAATTATCAGTGAATACAGGAGGAATCTGAGAGGAAACAGAAATGAACATTTCAGCTGTAGTGTTTGATTCTTTCGGGTGAGAAATTTCTGTACAGACGGCCCAATTTAACCGACAGGACTTCCACCACTAGTACATGGACTGGACCACAGTCCATGTACTAGTTGGTTCTTAATACTTGGGTCAGGAAATGCCTTTTCCTGCTGTCTGGTTGCCAAACTGCTTGGGAAGATAAATCCCTTCACGACTGGTCTTATATACATGGAGTAAAACGCAGTATTTGCCAGGTTTTGAAAAACCAGAGGCTTTGGTCTCCTGTTGTCTACCAAGAATGACCGCTGAACTAGTTTGCTACCAGCAAAATGAAATCAACTAATATAACTCTATTTTTGACACTGCTATAGTTGACAAATGTAGAGATAGACATAGATGTAGAGTATGATCCACTTTGTACACACACATATATATATATATACATATATATCTACATACATGCACGCAAACACTCATTGTGAATATCTTTGGGACCTTGATGCTGTGCCACGGCACTGAAACATGACACAACAGTTTGAACACCGTAGCTACACTGGGTGTGGGGCTGTTGTTTCTCCGTATTTGTTTGTGTTGTGTCATAGTGTTGCCAAGATCTGGTCACTGTCTTTGTGACGCATGAATGAAGAAAACAAGTCAACAACTCCCAGGGAGATTTAAGTCTCGTTCCATTGGCCAGACTGTTGTTTTGTAATGGAGGCGATTAACAGTAGAAAACTGTACTGATATTAATATAGAAATGTTATTAAATCTCTGAATGTTCATCGTTATTATTTGAATGTCTTGATCTTATAGTAACTGATAACATGCTTAACTGTTCCATTGCAACATGGTCAGAATTAAATAATAACCATTATTAAAAACAGAGAGAATGTAATGGTTTTAGAAGTAAACACAGCACGGGTGGAGGTGTCAGTAGGTAAATGTGCACGCTTCATTCTGCCACCACCGTTTGTAGCGTTTTGTCCGTGGTTCATAATACAAAGGCATTTGAGATTATTTGCAAGGCAGCGGACGATACGTTGGCTAACTAGCGAACTGAACTATTCTGCATGGTCTTTTAGTGATTAGTGATTGGAACTGTATTAGAGATGCTTTCAAGAGTCAAAAGATGGGTTTATATAATATTTATATGCTGAAGGGTTTTTGTTTCTACTATTTTCTTCATCTATCTACAGAACATAAACAAGGATTCCTTGTGCAAAGCAGGGCTAATGCTCAAATCCAAAATAATGTGTTACACTAAATAAATAAATGTTGCATTTGTATTAAAATCTTATCATCTATGATAATGATCAGAAATGTTTTCAGAGACAGTAATATATATATGTATGGTTTACAGTCAGGATGTTTGTGTTAAACTGCGATGTATACAACTAGAGCAGCAGTAAAAGTACATGAGATACAGCTAGATGTAGATCTACACTATTATTCACAGTATGACGTGATAACTGCAAGGCTTTGCAACATTAAAAACTGGCGCCCCCTAGAGGCTGATGTTTACATTTACCCAGCTTACACTAAAACTAAAAAAACCAGACAGATACAACACTCACATTTGTTTGGGTTTTACAATATGTACAAGGCAGACTTACACAGTCGGCATTAAACGGCAGATTACTATTTACATTACACATAGGTTCATGTGTTTGTGTGTGTGCGTGCGTGTTTCCTCAGACCTCCATGGCAGGATCTGAACCCAGTCCTTGCGCCTGCAGAGCTTCCTCTCTCTTCATCTTTGGTTTCTCTGTGCGTGTGTGCCACACCAGCACCTGTTCAACAAGCACACACGTGAAAATAAACCTTCCTATTTGGCAAAAAAAACCTGACATTTCAAAGGTTTCAGTTAAACATACTTTAGAGCAGTTGTCTGCTTTAGGCTCCAGTTCGTCCATGGTGACCAATCCTTGGAGAAGACTGCTTTCTAAGAAACCCATTGGTGCCTCTCCGTCAAAACAGGCCTCTGGATTGGACAGGATCAGTTTGAGGGACACAGCAAATCCGGCCATATCCATGGGAAAGGGACGGCTAGGGCGCCACCCAGTATGGAAGCGAACAACCTGAGAAGAATCAATGAAAA